TGGAATTGCACAGTCCAAAATAATAATAGAAATATAAAATATTTGAAATAAAAACATTTTTCAGCACATTTAAGAGAGTATCTCGATGAAAAATTCAAGACAGTAGTAAAAACTATTAAATCTGCGAAAAGAAGTATTTTGTATGATGTAGAAAAGAAAACTAACCAGTTGAAACTTGCAATAATAAACAGTAATGCGATAGCAACGCCGAATGCTAATATCAACGATATTGAAACGAAATTGAAAGTAGTATTCCCTATTCGGACGATAGAAGATTTTTTATTATTTGAAGAGGCGATTGGTACATCAGAAGAAAAAAAGAAAGCTTTAGTAAGTAAAAATATTTTAAAATAACACTTGATTACTTTATACACTATATAACTTATTTTTGTTTATAGATTAAGTGGAATCAAATTTTGATATTTGGAGAAACGTGCATCAAGAAATGCGTACGAAGGATAATGACATCAACGCTGTCAAAAACCGTTGAAATGGAATATTCAGCCTATGGGAGGCAAACCCACGGGAAAGGGAAACGCGATTTTAGTAAGACGCAAACGTATTCATGTTTGAACGGTTAGTATTGCTTATATATTGTTGACGAAATGTTTATCAAGTTATACCATAACAAATAACAGAAATATATAAATGTGTTTTGCAGGCGTATTACAGGAAAAATTTGGTGAACACGGTGAATTATACAAACAATTGCCGAGCATTATAAGTCGGTGGCTCTCCGGAGCTGTTGATCGGGAAGGAGGCCGAAAAACACGAAGATCTTCGTGTGTCACCGAGTCATAATTTATGTTGTAATATAACGAGGTATTTTTACAATTTATCAATTTTTTTATTGCTTGATGGTGGTTTTATTTCATTCATTAATTAAAAATCTTTAATATTAAAGGGATAAACCGCTGAGGTCAACGTAAGCTTGCTGGATTCGCAAAGTATTGATAAAACAAGCTTGATCAAACGTTGACAAATTTCGATGATGCAAGTAGGAATATCGGAGGTACGCCACGACAATTCGTGCTACATGTCCTGAGATTTTGGTGCTAACGTAATAGACATAACAAGGAAAACTATTTTTCTGGAGATCGCTACGCGTCTTTGGAGAATTACGTCGGATATGAGCATACTTAAGAGTTTCGATTCTTAGAAGCGACGATATGCTGTTTTCACTTTCCGTCGAGGAGAACTCGCAGAACATCAGTATTACACACGCGCGAGAAGCCATATACCTGCTGTTGTAGTTTATTAAAGAAAAAGTATCAACAATTAGATAAAGACCGCGTCTTGTTTAGGAATTTGCGTTAATTACCAAAGAGTTTGCTATCAAAATATTATTTTTTGCGTAGATTATTAGGTTAGAAATAAGTCAACAATATGTCGATCCAATTTTCGATGAAACTTATATACGAACTGAATTTAGTTTATTATACTTTATAACGTGGTAATAAAAACGCGTGATATTTTATTTTTATACAAAAAAAACAACGGTATTCCACGTCAATAATTGAATTATTTATGAACGAAATGGAATAGACATATGATATATTAATATTGTTTGCGAAGATTGCTAAACTTGTACTATTATATATTGCGCTATTATGTATTGCATATGTGTTGCGCAAGTATTTTTCGTACTTTATTATTATTACTATATTAATAAACTTTAAATATTAACTTATAAACTATGACTGATTTTTAGACAAATGGTAAATATTAATGATTCAGCCATGGTACATAATATCAACGTCAATAATAAAATCAAAATTATTTATTATTGACGTTGATATTATGTACCGCTGAGTCATTATTATGCCATTTTTTAGCCCCGGTTATTTTAATGTATTCCTGTACCGCACCAGTATTGTTTGCCGACGTTGGGACCAGTTGTTACTCGATGCTGAGACCAGTACTAAGCCAGTAGTGCTACCAATGGTGCGCCGGTATCGAAATCTGGCAATCAGTAGTGGCTCAGTACTGAGCCGATAGTAACACCTATACTGGGGCAGTACCGATAGACAACGGCTGGGCCAGTACTGTCGGTCAGTATTGGGCCAAAGTTATCATCCAGCGCTGCGGCAGTACCGCGCCAGTAATGTTGCCAGTACAGCGCCAGTACCTAACCTACCACAACCCAGTATTGGCCCAATACTGGGCCGATTGTAAAACCCTGTATGGGATAATTATATTGGAGAAAAATTCTATGAAAATCGGGATGATCGATGA